GAGACGCTTCGGTATGCCAAGGACGTCAAGAATGATGCGCTGTTCACGCTGACTGAAGGAGAGCTCAAGGCGTTTTTGGGATATTGCTGTATTCGGGGTACTGTACTCTTCCTTGTGAGCGGATGTACTGGTCTGAGGACAGTGACCTACAGCGTCCTATCGTCCGCAACGCCATGACAAGGTTCAGGTACCGGCAAATCAAATCGTATCTCCACCTGCAGGACAATGCAAAAATGACGCAAGACAACGGAGACCGAGGCTTCAAGGTCCGGCCTCTTTTGGACATCATGAACCGTTCATTTCAAAAGTACGGTGTATTCCAGGAGAAACTGGCAGTGGGCGAAATGATCGTCCCCTACCACGGCGACAACCGTCCGAGGCGGTTTCGACGTGACGAGCCCAATCGCCTCGGCTACAAGCTTTGGACCATTTGTGGCGGCGACGGCTACTGTTACAAGGTCGACCTCTACTGCGGCAAAGAACAGGGTCCCGAACTTTGCGGTCAGCCGCTGGGGAGCCGGGTGGTTCTGGACATGATCAGCGTGATATCTGATCCCAGCGGCCATGAGGTGTTCTTTGGAAACAAGTTCACCTCCAGGACTCTCCTCGGCCAGCTGAAAAGTCGAGGCATCCGTGCCACCGGCGTTGTGAGAGAAAAACGCCTTGGCAAATGCCCAGTCAGTACCGTTGAGGTCATGCGCGAGATGAAGCGTGGCTCGTATGAACAGCGGTTCGATCTCACAGACCAAGTGCTGTTAATCAGATGGCACGACTACGGGGTCGTAAACGTAATGACTAATTACGACACCGCCAACCCGACCTCCAACGTCGACCGGTACGACAGTGAAGCTAAGAAACGTGTGCCAGTCCCTCAGCCCAAGGCGCTGAAAACCTACCATGCCGCCATGAGTGGAGTCGACCTCCACGATCAGCTCCTGGGAGCATACCCGGTGTCCATCCGAGGAAAGAAGTGGTACTGGGGCGTCATCACCCGACTGCTGGATATCGCTGTAGTCAACAGCCACATTCTTCACAAAACAGCCGTCACCGGCGACAAACAGCTGTCCCTCCTGGACTTCCGCCGAGAGATCGCCGTCACCTATCTGAAGGCGGCAGCCAGCCAGAAGGGCTGCGGTGCCCGGCCTCTGCCAGCCAACACACCAGCCAGCCTGCGGTACGACGGGATCGGACATTTCCCCGCGCCACTCCACGGGCGTCGCCAGTGTCAGCTGGAGAGCTGCAAACTGCGCTCAACAAAACGGTGCAACAAGTGTGACGTGGCGATCTGCCTTAAGTGCTTCGTGGCGTACCACCAACGGAGTTAGCTCTTTCCTGGTGCCAGTGCAGGTGTGAAAAGAGGATACGCAAGTGAACTAGAGTGTTTATTGTGCATTGACAATGTTTGCGCCATCAAAAGTTCGTTGGGTGCCAAAAGTTACCTGTGCCAAGTGCCTAGTGAATGGTGAACTACCAAAGTGAATGATGCATCCAGGTCTACGTTGCGCGGTACTTGTGATCGTGACGGGTTGTCTTTGACAATAAATGAGGTACACAACCCTAGTCCCCAGTTCCAGCATCTGTTTGTATTTCTCGGCCGTCTCCGCACCGAAAAATAAACTTCCCTTGGCGCGAAGGGCGGGCCGGCCGCACGTATGGGCCGTGTACGAATCACTTATGGTCATTGCTTCATTCATATAAAAATTGAGCTTTTTTCCATGAATTATGAATTTCACCCATAGGAGACACAATACACAAAAAATGACATGAGCAAATAAAAGGTAGGTTTTAAACAAGTGGGCAAAGCTCTGGGAGTGCTATAACATTGAAACTTATGCATTGTTGGCAGCTAGGAATATGCTACTAAACACTGTGCTTCAGCTGTCCAGTGTCCACCACAGGCCCTGTTGTCAAGACAAAACAAAAAATGGAATATTATGTTAGTCAATGCAAGTCCTTTTACTCACCAATTGTTCATTTCCAAATAGAAGGCAGCATCCCTTTCATTGGCTCCATCACCAACAAGCTTGTGAAACTGAGAGATGAGCACATCTCTGTCTGTGGTGCCCATGCAGCTGAACTGCTGCAGCACGGAGTCGACATCAGACTCATCCACCTCCATGGCTTCAGGTCTTAGCTGACAACTACAGCTGGGAATATGACAGAAGGGGTGGATTAGAATTATAATTATTTCTCAATGGAAAAAACGACTTTTAAAACAAAACAAAAGCTAAAATAAGGAACAAAGAGAAGCTAGTTTTAGTTTATGATCACTGGCTTCATTTGCAACATCTGGGAGAAGCATAACCAGCAGAATTTTGAGTCCAGTGGAACATGGATAGTGAAAGAGAACAATCAGAAATTAATGTGTGGAATGGCCAGGAAATTCTTTACAACTCAACTTCTTAGTAAATTCAAGTCCAGTCTTTGTAACACCAAAAATCAATTATTACAATGGCCACAAAGCAGCTACCACCTACAGCTAAGCACACTCGAAATGCCTGCAGTAAATGCATAAACCAGCCAGTAGATTGACAAACTTACCAAATATGAGCATACAGCACTAACTAACTCAAACTCAGCTCTCAAACCAATCAACTCATAATTGATAGGGGGCTCAATTATAGGGCTCTCCTAATGGGGCTCTCCTCACTTGGTTATTGAGGTGCTAAGCAAAACCTATTGTACATCAGGGCCTCAGGCAGCATAGCATTTAAGTGCAAATAACAACATTGACATTGTCATTCAGTAACCAGTAATATATTGAAATTGTAGTGTGAATCCACACACCATGAATCCAATTGAATGAACCAAATTAAGATTACTTGATAGGTACTGCTTCTGAATGTTCATGTTGTGCAGCAACTAAAAAGCTAATATCAAAGCCTCATAACTTCACCTTCTGACAAACAATATTGTAGGTATTGAATCAGAATGTTGCCACTCAAGATAGGTACTTAGAACATCAAAATATGCTCTGTTCCTCGTACTCCAGTCATATACTCATGAAAAGCTATGATTTCCTGTAAGGCCCTAAAGCCCTAAACAGAACAATCAGCATTTAGCATGACATTCCATTCAATGCAAACTGAAAAAGGTCAGCGGGCGCAACACGCCACACAGCGTACCTCGTGTAGAAATTGTGGGATTAGTTTCAACTTAATTGCACTTGTTAAACCTCTTCATTTATTATCAACCATTTAATAATCATTTATCTATTACTTTTTGCTAAATTTTGCATAAAAACAGCCTGAATCACCCACAATTCCAAAAATGCGCCACAAATGAATCGGACATGCGTGGAAATCACCACCAAGCAAAACACCGTCGCATTCGCGATAACTTACCCAGTTCAATCATAACATGACATAAAAATCAATTTTCATGAATCAACTCAATCCACCATCCGGAAAGAAACAAAAGAACGTGTCAATTGATACAGCGCGGTGGGTCAAATTCCAAATTGCAGATCACTGGTGAAATCGGCGAGTAATTTCTTTGAAATTAAAAGTTTCCTTCATATGGCATCGATATTTCATCAAAATTTGGCAGCAATACATTTCTTAAAGACGCTTATATTGCTCAGAGAGCACTATTTATTGCAAAATATTTCTAAATCCAATGTACAAAGTACTTTTATTGTAATTGACTCACTATTCCTGGCACTTTTGGTCCTCTAGGGCTTCAGTGTTTATGTTGAATAAATTAACGTATATTACAATGCATTGTTTATAATATCAATTGCCTTTCAATGATATTCTGATTAATGTATTGGTATTGCTTATCGTCATGGCTCTCCGAGGTTTTCAGTTTTTGCAAAGAGACTGGAAGAAGACTAAGCTCATTTGTGAATTATGCTCACAGCATGGTTCTAATAAATGGTTAAATCATAAAAGTTATAGGTAAGATGCATAGAGGCTTGGATATTTCTGACTTTATGAAGAAAAGTTAGAATTTTCGTACTTGTACAGCCCTTAGCACACTGCGTGATAGTTATTATTTCAATTTTTCACAAAACTGATAATACCTCAAAGCATTATTCTGGCAACATATTCAGCATTATGAATACAATTATAATGCCAATCTAAGGTGCGGAGTCTCGCGCATCTGGTAAATGTCAAGTTTAAGTCCTAAGAAGATTTCATTGATAAATTTTTCATATTTTTACATTATTTGACATCCTGAATCCAAAAATGACACTCATATGTCTCGCAAATAAAAGGAAAAAACATAATCAAACCTGACCTAACCTTACCTACTTACCTATAACCTACCAACCTACAACCTACAAACCTACCCTAACCTAACCTAACCTACAAACCTACCTACCTACAACCTAAAACCTACAAACCTACAACCTAACCTAACCTAAAACCTAATTTTTTTGCTGTTTCATATTCGTATCAACAGCGCCACAATTGTAGTTAGGACCTAAACTTGACATATACCGCGCATCTTTCTGTTACAACTTCCGAGTGACTGATAGCATAGTATTCTAATTATTCTCGGTTTTGTCAAAAAAGAATAGGTACCAACCACGCAGTGTGCAGAGGGCTGTACCTATCCTTCTTTTAACCCAAGGAAGATTATCCTTTTTCAGAATGAGGGAGTTATGGTTAATTAAAAGGTTGAGATTGCCATTTTACTTCATTGTAGCGGCAACAGGCATCAGAAGTGCCCTTACAGAAAAAAACTTTTTTTGCGGTGAATACTGGAACTTGATAATGAGGGTGAGGTTGAGGCATACTGATTGGAGGCATGATTCTCAATCAGAGTGTGGTTTTTCTCAGTTATGCTCATTGTTGCTGCTCCCACTGAATGCACATTTTTGTAACTTTGCCACTTTTGAAGTTTAAAAAGAAACCTTTAGAGTTTAGATGTTGTCATGAGAGGCTATCCCCCAGAATGAAGTGTGCAACTGGAAATGATTGGAAGGCAATCCATCTGACAGATATTTGCAATAATGTAATGTTTTGTCTCTAATCCTTGCTGAGTCAGAAGGTTATCTGCTGAAATAAGCTCAAGTCAGCTCATGATAAGGCTCACAGACATTCTTTCCAGGCAATTCCTCATTCTGCTTTTCAGCAACATCTCTAAAGGTCCCTATCTTTGGCTGTGGCACATTCCATGAAACACTATTGATGCTACATAACTGCAGCCAGATTTTGCTATCTGGCCTGTTTGTTACTGGTGGTGGTAGTTAATCAGTCCAATGGGATGGACTGGCGCCATTGCTATTTCTATTTGGGATCAGGCTCCAGTGCTCTATTTTGCTACCTTTTCAGCCAGCTGTTGCTGGCTCACATTTTCCTGTTCAGGGGCCGATGTTGAGCTGCATTGAGCCAGTCTGTTGTGCAAACTGCTAAGATCACTGTATGTCATATCTGATATCTTGAACAGCTGTTGCCTTTTGAGCCCTGTCACTCATCAGTTGCAGATTTTAGATAGATGGATGGATGGGATTAAATATCCTACAGCAGCAGCTTTGGTCATTGGTGTCATGTACTGTGTCAGCTCATATTGCTGGACTCAGGAAAGCTCACATGACTTGTGGTTTGGTGGCCTTATGGCCTGACTACCTTAGAAGCATCCAGGCAGGACACAGTTCCACACTCTCAATAAGCTTAGATCCAGTTCTATAGCCTTGGTTAGATTTACACCCTCCTGCCCCCCCCCCCCCCCCCCCGCCCCCCCCCCCGGCATAAAAGGCTCGTTGCTCTCCACTGATGCTTGATTAAAAATTCCACAAAATTATCTCTCACTTTCTCTCAATTATCTCTCTTCTATTTTCTCCCTTTCAGATTGCTGTCTGTGAGTCGATCTCATGGGGCTCGTCCGCCGGGCGCCGCCGAAACTCTGGACGTCTCTCACATTCCTCTGGAGAGGACACGTAACTTCAGCATCATCGCCCACATCGACCACGGCAAGAGCACACTGGCCGACCGGCTCCTGGAGATTACTGGTGAGAAAGTATGGGGTAGATAGATTAGGTGTTTGAAACTGGTGAGTGGTGAGAGTCGGTGAGACCGTTGATGTGGTCGTTTGATTATTTCGTTTCGGAAAACGGTGCTTTCAGACATCTCTAACGATGCGTGTTTTTTTACGTTTTAACGGTCTTTTTGTCAAGTTGCGTGGCAAAAATGTACAGTAGGTAGGATTTTAGCGACCAATTTGAGCATGAAGTTTCGTGTCTCTTCGCTATCCCCTCTGTGGTCCCTGAAAATACCTGACCTGTCTGGTTTATTCGTGTGGTTCGTTACAGGAACCATCTCTCCTGGTGAAGGGAATAAGCAGGTGCTGGATCGACTGCAGGTGGAACAGGAGCGGGGCATCACCGTCAAGGCGCAGACCGCGTCGCTGTTCTACACACACGTGAGTGTCTTGTAAACCCACGGAGCTTGTACCGACCACGAATTCCACGATCCGATGGAGAAAAGGCACGACATGGCGTTGAATCAGTCGAACTTTCAACGTACGAACGGTAATACTGCCTAATTTTTCGCGGACTGGCGTACCTAAACATTGTATGGTTTTGTGTGACATGCCGAGAGTGTGGCCGTGACACCAGCCATTAGCCATCCATGACCCGAGTACACATTCATCCTTGTCTGAGTGTGAATGTGTAGGAAATAGTGAACGCCGTATAGGCTCGATCCCGGGATGCCACCTCCTAGGTCGAGGGACCGAGGGTTCGTGGCGAACGATCGCCTATTGAGCTATTAGGCGATCACGACCCAAGTGCTTGAGATGCTCGAACACAGCTCGACTTAATCTCAGCTCTCATACACTTATAGCATGGCCAGCTCAGTAATAAGTGGCATAAAAGAAATATGAAAGGTTGATCCCATTCATGAAACTCGAAAGCTCGGATCTTAGTAACTACCAAGATCCTTTTTTCACATTGCGACACAGATCGTCATCGTAGATCCGTTAGAAAGGGTCGCATGCGTCGCACTCCAAGGCCCAATCTCACCAACTGCGGTAAACTCATTTTGAACCAAGTGTAGTGAATTGAGCAGTTATGAAGTGCAAAGCCCAAGTGGGAAAGCTTGGATATGATCTACAAGTCGCCCAGTGCTCGAAAGTTTTATTATTCCTAAATTTACCTCGAAATATCGCTACCTGCGCGGTGGCACTCTCGTAGTTACAAAGCTGTTCATAGATGGCGTTAGTAGTCGACGCCTGAAGGTAGACTGTGCCGCATCACTTGAATTCCGCCGTGGCAGCGACCCCTGAAGGTAGACTATGCCACATCGCTTGAAATCCGCCATAGTGGCGGCGGACGGCGCTAGGCATTTCGGTAATTACGCTTGCTAGCCTGCGTTCTGCAAATTACGAGTATGATGGAGAAAGTGTGAATAGACTGCATTGATATTTTTTATTGATCTTTACTAGCATGAAATCGAACACTAAACCGTCGCCAAACTGTCACGTTGATCAACTGCATTCATCATGTAGTCAGTGCCATTATATGTGTATTATTTATGTCCATGTCTTTCCCTCATAGCCGAGTGGTTTCGCGTGAAAAGTTGTCCGCTCACCAAATCGTTCTGTTTCAGAACGGTGAAGAGTACCTGCTGAATCTCATCGACACACCCGGTCATGTCGACTTCAGCTATGAAGTCTCACGGTCATTACAGGTGAGGGATCTGTTAAAAACAGAGCCGCTCTAATGCATAATACTGAATGCATAATATTGCGCGGTATAGACGTGAATCAAGTTTCATAAGCGCCGGCGTGCTTAATTAAGCAAAATGATGTAACCAAAAAGGATGACATCTTACTATCTGCGATCAACAGCTGTAGAGTTGTTTTTAACATGCGGAGAGCCGGAACCGAGCTTCTTTTCTGACCGCTGACACCGTGGTTGATCGTCTGACTGTCTGACCATTTGATGATTTACCGTTTGACCGGTGACTGTTGACCGCTGACCGCTTATCGCAGACCGTTTGCTGAGCCTCACCGTATATCTAATCGCCTATCTTACCGTCTCATTAGTTAACTTGCTGCCTGTTTATCCGTCTGACTGGTCGTCTAACCGTCTGTCTCATTGTCTTACTGTCTGACTTTACTGGTCGTCTAACTGACCCACTAGCTGACCCTCTGACTGTTTGTCTTACCGTCTGACCGTCTCCCTCCAGGCGTGTCAGGGCGTGGTTCTCCTGGTGGACGCCAACAAGGGCGTGCAGGCACAGACGGTGGCCAACTTCTTCCTCGCCTTCACCAGTGACCTGGCCATTGTCTCCGTCGTCAACAAGATCGACCTGAAGAACGCCGATCCTGACCGGGCCATCGCTCAGATGCAGAGACTGTTCGACTGTGATCCCGACAAAGTCTGCCGGGTGAGTGAGAAATTGCTTATTGTGAGAGGGTTCTTTGGGAGATTTCCTGATTACTGCTTGGTAAGATCTGTTAAGCTTCCATGTTGTGTTGCAGGAGATGAGAGTCGGGGTGGGCGAAATATTGCGTTTTTCCTTTTCGTTTCGATTTTTTCTTAATGCGTTTGTGCTCTTTGACAACACATTTGCTAAAACGGGTAGTGTGCACGTCCAATACACAAAAGAGACTGACGCGATTGCTCTCCTTTCTCTCGTGGTACCTAGATCTCGGCCAAGCTGGGCACCAATGCAGAGCTCACACTGATCCCTGCGTTCCCCCCCCCCCCCTCCCCGTCACGGAAGATATGTGCCAAATGGGGCATCGACGTGCAGCACTGACCACTCCTCTCCCCCTCCTTCTGTCACGTCAGATATCAGCCAAGCTGGGCACCAGCGTTCAGTCGGTATGTACTGACTTAACCTTCCCATTTCTGTCACGTCAGATATCGGCCAAACTGGGCACCAACGTTCAGTCTGTTCTGACGGCTGTGATCGAGGACATCCCGCCGCCGAGCCAGTGTCGGCGTGACGAGCCGCTCCGGGCACTCATCTTCGACAGCTGGTGAGAAGTCTCTCTTAGACGCCTTTGAAGTCTAGGCCAGGGTGGGTGCTGCGATTTGCGAATAATCCCATTCGTGATCTCGCTGGAGCCAGTGTTGAGTGCTTGTAGCGTCTCGAAAGTAAATGTTGATCTAATGCATAGTTTTCACCATGATGCTTCTGTGTTTGAAACGGCCCATTCGAGAGCTTGAGTACGCTTGGTAAAGCGGACGGTATCACATCCTGCTTGGCTTTGATCTGCATTATTTTCGCTTTCCGTAGTTGTACTTGTCGTTTTAGGCGTCATACCGCTAAAAAGTGACGAAAAACTGGCTGCCGACCGAATATTCACATTGGTTCGACATTTACACCGATCGTACCTCATGCTACCACATATTTTTGCTGATGTCACGAATTAACGCCCACCCCTCGTCAGGTTTGACCGGTACAAGGGCTGCGTGCCGCTGGTGGCCGTCGTGGACGGTCAGCTGGCGGCCGGTGATGTCATCGTGTCGTCACAGTCGGGCCAGTCGTATGAGGTGCGCGAGGTGGGACTGCTCCGGCCGCAAGAGACGCCCGCCACGCAACTGTGAGTGACAGATCGGAGAAGGAGAGTGGGCGTAAGGTGGGTGGGAGACTGATTAGAGATGGGAGTCATGTTATTTACATAGGTATGGCAGTGGTGCATGATTTTCAGTACCGCTTGTACTTTTTATGTGACAGTGTATTGTTTTATTGAAATATTGATTGAAAGTGCCGCATCAGCTCGAACGAACCAGAACCGCCTTAAATGTCTCGTTAGCTGGATCTCATAAGCGGCACCGATAAGCTGACCAATGTGACATTTCCTTTCCCAAGTCACAATCTGTCCACACTGTAGCGCGTGTTTTATCACGTAACATTATCTCTCTTGTCTCTCCCGCCTATAACCGCCCATCTTGCCGTCAGGTGCGCCGGCCAGGTGGGCTACTTGCACGCCAACATCCGCACGGCCACAGAGGCCCAGGTGGGAGACACACTGTACCTGAAGGGACAGTCCGTCACACCGCTGGCCGGCTTCCGACGCGCCAAGCCCATGGTGAGCGACTGATGGGAGACTGTTTGGGGAGAGGGTGATGGGTAGAGAAGGCAGAAGTAAGGAATAGTGGATATGGGGTGCATTGAAAACAGTCATGCTGAAAGTCAATCAAGTATTCACGTGACATTGTATGTATTTTAGGCGTTTTAATGCAGTTTAATCTCATTTCAGTACCGAACTATCACTTTTCCCGATGCCGCCCCCTTTTCATCGACAACACCTCACTGTGTTGTGGCATTGCGTTCCGCTGAGTTCGACCCACAGCGGCACCTACCGACGTACCGACGCCACCTACCATACGCTGGTGTAACCCTTCTTTGAGCCTGGCCGCATTAACTTGTCTGTTCTTTACCTCCAGGTGTATGCCGGTGTGTACCCCATGGACCAGTCTCAGGTACCGAACCTACGAAGTGCTATCGAGAGGCTGACTCTGAATGACTCCAGCGTCAGCGTTCAGGTCGAATCCAGGTGAGTCAATATCGAGTCTAGATTTGTTATGTCGAGGCTAGAATACGATCAGTTCTGCTGCCAGCATAAGTTTGTGGCCACAGATTAGGCACTGGACTTCAGAGCGTGGTGGTTGTGCGCACCGTTCACTCGCTCTGCTCTTTATCACCACGTTACTTCAGGCATGGGCTAAGTATCGACAATGCCCATTATCAGTTCACACTACCTTTTTCTCCGATCTCCAGCGCCGCTCTCAGACAGGACTGGCGTCTGAGGCTCATCAGCCTGCTTATATTCTGCTCATACCATATAACTTCTCTCCCCAGCGCCGCTCTGGGCCAGGGCTGGCGTCTGGGCTTCCTCGGTCTCCTGCATATGGACGTGTTTACCCAGCGACTGCAGCAAGAGTACGACTCGGAGGTGGTGGTCACTTCGCCCAGCGTGCCGTACAAAGGTGGGACAGAGCCGTGTGAGGTTTGTACCTATTGCCCATATTGGCAGGTCAGGATGAGTAATGGTGCTACAATGTGGCTTGAATTGGGCGTTTGGGTGATAATTTGCTGCTGCTGGATTAATTCGTTGAAATCATAGAATGTGGTTTGATTCCATTTGCATTGACGGTACACTTATCAGGTTAGCTGTTAGCGTCCGTGTTAGTTACAGTTCAGTATGAGGATATCAGTTAGCTCTGCTTTATGAAAAAAGTGTAGATGAACATTGTGTCATGTCTGTTTCAGCAAAAATTTTCGGCGCGAAGAACATCAAGAAGTATCGCGGTGATGAAATTGAGATCAACGGCCCCGCCCAGTTTCCGGACGTTATGATTGTCAGCGAGTTCATGGAGCCCATGGTCATGGGAACCATCATCACTCCAGGTACGAAAATCACTTGGTTTGGTGTGTCGCTAATTAAACACTGGACTAAGTTCCAAGTTATTCCGTGGTCATCTGTCGGAAGGCTGAAGCTTTGCCAGTTAAAACAGACAGGTTCTATAATCGAGGTGTCTCGCATGATGTCACTATGACATCATTATGATGTGATATGGAATTTTGGCTGCGATTTTCGGGAGCTGCTGCGCCTGCCAAGCTATCGTTGCTGGGAGCCAATATTTACACTTATCGCTTCTGCTCTCATGCTGGCATTTTCATCTTCTTCCGAGAATGTTAATTTTCACACCAAAAATTACATACGAACACACAGAGATACTCTGCAGATTATACAATGCAGCTTGGAAAAAAACGGATGAAAATCACTTTGGTTTGTCTGCTGCGTACAAGCCTTCTCATTCACACATAGCAGCGCTTGTTTTATTTGACTCCGATGTTTTTATAACCCTCGTAGTTTGTTTTCTTGTGTGATGCGGTCGTCTGAGATGCGTTATCATTCGTTGTCCGTTCGTGGTTTTTCCTTTGTCACATTTCCCTCCGTCCCTTCTCAGTTTCGTTGGGTCTATAACCAGCGGGTTTTGTGCCACTATTACAGATGAAATTGTAACTGTAGGGAAGTCGCGGTATGGCCTCAATAACTGCTGCCGTGCTCGTTCCATGATATACTAGCTGGCGCGGCTGCCGACTGGCCGGGAGGGACGGGACGGGGCTGAGGGGAGGGACGACTTTGATCGCGTTTGGTAGGGCGCCAGCGGGCAGCTCAACGCCTCGCCCGCGACCCATCGACACCTCTCCCCCTCTCCTTCCCCGCTCCTCTGCCCCTCTCCCCCTGATACCCCTCCCTCTGATACCACTGCGGTTTGGGAGCCTGATAAATGAGTAGGGTTTGGAGCGGCTTTCAACGTGCCTCTGATCTTGCGCCCGCGCGAGCGCTTGATCCCCACTCCCGGGCGTTTGATCTTTGCTTAAAGATCGATGATTTGGCGCTGTAACTGTGCTAATTGCGTGTTATTAGCCAAGCTGCTATTAACCCCATGACGCTAAGTTAAGTGTCACAGGAGGTAGCTTGATGATTTGGCTTTGATGATGACATTGTATTTACAGCTAATTTCAACCCAAATATCGTGTAACTCCTAGCATTTCACGAAATCACGTCAGTTAGTACGTGTGTATTTTACTGACACAGACTCCTACTTTGGTGCCGACGGTGTCTCTCTAACGCTCCCGTCCGACCCACAGACGGCCTGTTAAGTAGGTGCCGTGTCCCTCTAACCATGTCCGTCCCTGTCCGACCGACCCACAGACGCTTACTTCGGCGCCGTGTCTTTCTAACGCCTTCCTCTGCGTCCCATCGCCACACAGACGCTTACTTTGGCGCTGAGTCTCTCTAACGCCTTCTGCGTCCCATCGCCACACAGACGCGTACTTAGGCGCTGAGTCTCTCTAACGCCTTCTGCGTCCCACCGCCACCCAGACGCGTACTTAGGCGCCGTGTCTCTCTAACGCCTTCTTCTGCGTCCCATCGCCACACAGAAGCGTACTTTGGCGCGGTGTCCCTCTAACCACGCTGTCTGCGTCCCCTCCAGACGCGTATTTCGGCGCCGTGTCTCTCCGCCTTCTGCGTCCCACCGCCACACAGACGCGTACTTCGGGGCCGTGTCTATCTAACGCCTTCTACTGCGTCCCACCGCCACACAGACGCGTACTTAGGCGCCGTGTCTCTCTAACGCCTTCTGCGTCCCACCGCCACACAGACGCGTACTTCGGCGCCGTGTCTCTCTAACGCCTTCTTATGCGTCCCATCGCCACACAGACGCTTACTTAGGCGCCGTGACCCTCTAACAACGCTGTCTGTGTCCCCCAGACGCGTACTTCGGCGCTGTGCAGGCGCTGGTGATGGAGCGTCGCGGTCACCAGTCGGAGGCCACCAACATCGACAACGAACGCATCATGGTGCGCGCCACCATGCCGCTCAGCGAGGTGGTCGTCGACTTCTACGACGAGCTCAAGTCGCTGACGTCCGGCTACGCTAGCTTCGATTATGAGGATGCTGGCTATGAGACGACGAATCTGTCGAAGGTGGGTGGTTGTAGCAGAGCAACTTGTGCTGCAGCTGTGCAGGTGCTTTTTGACAGCAATAGTTATGTGATAAACCGGTGTTTTTGTTGGGTTCTTCTTTTATGATAGCGCTCCGTTTTAAGCGGACCATCACCACGCCCTTTTCTTGAGTCTAGATAACCGCTTGTGTGCGTTTTTTGGCTTAGCATTGTTTCCTTTTTCAGTGACTAATTCCGTACGTTTTACGTAACTGCTTTGTTCCCACTGACCCTTGTGTCCATTTTCAGCTGGTCATCCTACTGAACGGCGAGCCGGTGGAGGAACTGAGCCTCATCGTCCACACCAGCCGCGCTCGCTCCATCGGCCGGGCGGTGTGTGCCCGACTGGCAGAGTCCATCCCGCGACAAATGTTCAGCGTGGCCATCCAGGCGGCCGTCGGAGGGAAGATCCTCGCCAGGGCAGATGTCAAGGCACTCAAAAAGGACGTGCTAGCCAAATGTGTGAGTGAGGGTTGAAGAAAGAAGTAGCCGTTGTCGTTACTCTGAGATGTAGTGAACGATTAAAAACACAATACAACAGGATTGGCTAGTGGCTATAGCTTTAGCGTGGCATTACGAAGATCGTTAATCGCAACCATTGAAATGCTTCACTTCATGCTAAGTTATTGAGGTGTATCAGGTTAGTGTTGTCTGCGATTGCTTTTCCTTTTCAGATCCTCCTTAATCAATTTCATGTCATTGGGGATGCTTTCCGAATCGTTACGGAATGTGCTCATTTTCCTTGCGAAAGAAACCTACAAAGTAGACGGCATTCTCACTCACTGACGCATCTGCCTCCCTCCCCAGTACGGCGGCGACATCAGCAGAAAGATGAAGCTGCTGAAGCGACAGGCGGAGGGCAAGCGACGCATGAAACGGATAGCCAACATCGACATCCCCCGGGAGACGTTTGTCAAGGTTCTGAAGCGGTGACGACCGTCAGGTGCGTCTCTAACGAGAGGGAAGGGTGAGGGAAGGGTGCTGGGGGTGTCCCGCCGTGTCAGTGGGTTGGGACAAGCGGGTGGGGTGAATGAACGATGTTGCGTGTTATCGGTGGATGACGAGATGATTTTATAGTGTTGTGATACGAGCGGGACTCTTGAAGTGAAGTGTCTGTTTCGTCGTGGATTGCTCAGGACGTTGCAAGCATCTCGCCTATGTCGTTGGTACTAGATCGTTTCGATTTGTTTAGTCGATTGACGGTCAATGGTCATAATTGACATACTGTGCTGATTTGTGTAATATTATCATGTGATGACATATCGATGCCTTTGCGCTAATAAGGAACTGAGATCCGGTGCTGCCGGGCCTACCTGGAATATTCTCATTTTATATGTATCTTCCTCGGACTGAGCAGTCACAGGGAGTTGTAAGTTTGTAACTCAGGAACGGACTTTAACCTGGCCCGTAATCACATGGTAGCTCGCGCGATTATTTTGTCAGCCCAGGACTAATGAGCTCATCCTTTCTTTGCATTACCGCCATTTATTTTGGAAGGTGAATTTTCTTACTCACATATGTAATGCAGGTCAATTCATACAGGAGGCCCTGAATGAAGGCCTACTGGCGATGACGATGTCATTCACTGGCGGATCCAGGGGGGGGGGGGCATTTAGGGCCATGCCCCCCCCCCCCCCCCCAAAGGCCTAAAGTGGCCTGTTTGGCCCCCCCCCCCAAACGTCAGAAAAATTGCTAAGAAAATATACCTTGATGGAGGTTTTTAGCCACTTGTTGAAGTAAAGCTTTCCACAGCGTAATATGGAGGCAATATGGTAGCAGTGAGGGTCAGTCAAAAGTTGCGCGAGCGGAGTCGCCACTTTCAAAAAAAGACTGTGGTTGGCACGTGTTTATGGCGCGGCAGCTGGTAGTTGGCGGTGTTTCGCGTGGTGTGGCATCACTGGCGGATCCAGCGGGGGGGGGGGGGGCACGGGAGCCTGAGGTGCCCCTGACAGCAGGCCCGTGGTGCCCTTGCTGGGCCTGTGGTGCCCCTAGACCCTGGCAGACCTGTGGTGCCTCTGGCGGGCCTAGGGTGCCCCTGCTAGGCTGCTGATGCCCCTGGGACCTGACAGGACTGTGGTGCCCCTGACAAGCCTAAAGTGCCCCCAACAGACCCGTGATGCCCCCGACAGGCCCAAGGTGCCCCTGCGTGATGCCGTGATGCCTGCGAGGCCGGTGGGGCCCCTGACAGGCCCATGGTGCCCCTGCGAGGCCGGTGGTGCCCCTGGCAGGCCTGTGATGCCCCTGCTAGGCCGCTGGTGCCCCTGGGCCCCGACAGGACTATGGTGCCCCTGACAGGCCCAAGGTGCCCCTGCAAGGCCGGTGGTGCCCCTGTAAGGCCTATGGTACCCCTGCTAGGGCCTCTGGTGCCCCTGACAGACCCATGGTGCCCCTGCGAGGCCGGTGGTGCCGCTGGCAGGTCTCTGGTGTCCCTGACAGACCTGGGGTGCCCCTGACAAGCCTGTGGGGCCCCTCACAGGCCCGTGGTACCCTTGCTAGGCCTGTGGTGTCCCTGGCGGGCTGGTGGTGCCCGGTGCCCCTGCTAGGTCGGTGGTGCCCCTGACAGGCCTGTGGTGCCCCCGGGCACCAAGGGGGGTCATGACCCATGTGGCCCCCCTTGGATCTGCCACTGATACGTTATGGCTTATGCAATGTGCGATTGCAGGCACTTGGTATCCCTCACTTATCCCTCATTGGGGGCTCTGGCGGGCTCCTGAGGGCCCACGTCTATCTCAGGGAGCCCTAGACGGGCTCCTTTGGGTCCTTTCAGTCCACTATAGCATAAGAGGTCTCCACGCGAGTCCTATACATCTGAGGGCGTACCCTGACGTCTGAGGTACCCAACTGCAGCTCCAATGGTCTCTTACATTGGCGGATCCAGGGAGGGACATGCCCCCTTCCCAGAGGCCTAAAGTGGCCCGTTTGCCCCCTCCCCCAAACGATAATGAAACATAGTTCAATCAGTGCGTGGCCCAGGAGGCGAGTTGGACAGGGGGTGTTTTACCACCTCCCGGCCCGCAAAGGGACACAAGCACTGACTCGAAGCGGGTTAACTGGTCGACAAAAGCAATGGTAAGTGTTTACAAAGTAATATAAAGGCATGGGTCGGGTGGGCTACCATTTATATTTTTTCTTTTTAATTAGAAAAAAAATATTCATAGTATCAGGGCTGTGACGAAAAATAAGTGGCCTAAATCCGATGAGAAAACAGAATTTGGGGGTACCCTAGGTTTGGCTCCTGCATGAGTTGCCCCCCCCCCCAAAACGTAAGCCTGGATCCGCCAGTGATGTCATTCAAATTGCTATGGATTCCAGTCGCATCCCGTCTTTTTACGGTGGTCGTTAGCCAGGAATAACCCGCGAGTTGCTGGGGGGGGGGGCGTTAAACGCCCCCACTTTTTTCGCCGAGCCATAGCATAAAAACGGCGCGCCGCAGGCGCGCCAAATTTTGGGTACCTGTAGGGAATTGATTGAAGTGTATTGTGACAAAGTTTCAAAAAAAATCGGTCGGAAAACTTTTGAGATATCGAGGTTTTAGTGACGTCATTGTTTCTGAGTTTTCGACCAAAAACGGCATATGTTCAAAAAATCATATAAAATCACAGAATAGACATACAGACATGCCGTAAACGCCATTAGACTGCAAATACTATAAGCAATCAAATGGCTGTCTTCGATTATTGATTATCGTTCCGCATTTTCCAAAATCTTGAACTTAATCTTGGCAATTTCTCGTGACTACTTCACGACCATGATACATGCATTTCTTAAATTGAACTTTTTGAGCCAAACACGTACACATATGATAAAATGAATGTCACCATCGTGTTCTACGCCCCAAATTACCCATAAAACATGTGTCACAGGCTGCGAATATCAGTTTTGATTTTCGGGGATATGTGCCTACCCGGTTGACCTGACCTTGACCCTGACCTATGCTGACAGACCCCTACATGGAGCTGACACTCTTGTAGGCCCTATATGATGGATTGTGCACCGTTTTGACAGAGTTTTTGACGAGAGGCACCCATTGCGAAGTCCTGAAGTCCATGCTACTGAAAGCCCGATTTCAGGTGTTTGACCTGACCTTGACCCGACCTGTGACCTCAAAATTGAACTTTAAAGTACCCATCTGAAGCGTCTCGTCGCGCTCTTTCGTTTGCCGCCTCGTACGTTTCGCTGTGCCTATTGGTTCTCGAGTTATCGGCTGGGGGGTTTAACGCCCCCCCCCCCCCCGAGCAAACGGTGTGTGGCGAAATACCCACTAGCAACTGCCGGGATAATAGGGAAGCCTTCTCATTGGAGTAGGTTCCCTAAGGGGGTCTTGAGGCCACCCTCTGTGACCCTTCTAGGGACGAGCTGATCCAAGGTGGTGCACTACTTGGTGGTCACTTCAGCATATTTCCCCCTACGCCTCCACAGCTTTTATCCCGTGGTCCTGCGATTATATCTGAAGGGACTAATTCAACTACAACATAACAGCAACACTAACACTAAAAAAGCATGGCTGATGTACGATATTCGTCTGTCATTTGGTTGCTAATTCATAAATTCATATGATTCTTCGAAACTAATCAGCACCCTTGTGCAAGGTGCTTCCCTGCAGTGGAATATTTGACAAATTCGTCATGAATCATCTAAGCAGTTTCTGGTGATGTTTTCTAACTTCCTAGTTCCTGGTGTAGCTGTTGGCCTGAAATCATTAGCTTCTTTCCGACAATAAATGTCGCAGACACTAGGGAAGCTGCTTATATTGTTTTTGAATTAGTTCTAATTCTCGAAGGCATTTCTAGGCTGTGCTGATGACTAGTAGCAGTACATACGTGGAAGTGTTCTTCGTAAAGAGGGTTGATCGTGACCACATTGACAGTTACTCAGTCAGTGGCGAATATCCGCCTTTTTGTGATGTTATGCCTAGGCCGCCATAAAGAAGACTCGTCCGTCCCAACCGATTGTTCATTGTTCATCCTTCCGCCTCTCCGAAAACATCGCGTTACGTACCGAGTCATTTATGAGTCGTCAAAGTACAACAGAGGCAACAGAAGCGTCACGAGCATCGGGAGACATATGAGGCACACAGATTCGGCCCGGCGACCGGCGGACGCCGCGCACTGGGGCCCAGCAGGCCGCTACGGCGGGACCGGTCGGTCGGGACTGGGCTGGGTGGGCCCCGGCCGGCCGTGCCCGGACCGTGTAGGTGGCGCTGTGATCGCTCACGATGTTGTAGAGGGCGCTGCCGCTGCCCGCAGCACGTCAGCGGACGGAACCGATCGCCGGACCATGAATGAGAACTGAAAAAGATGGGTTACGCGTGGTCAGATGGGTGTCAGGGCGGCAGCCGGAGCAAGCCGGTTGTGACCTGTAGCATATTGCAGAGATCTCGACTCCAAACATGATACGCCGGATTTCGGAAGTATCTCACTCGTGTCTTTTTGTTCGATCAACCCAGTGACAGCTGAGAGCTGGAGGTCAGATTTGAATGAATTTAAGGGACGAAATTTGTCATGAAAAAATTGAACTGTGAAATTATTAAATCGTGCCGCAGTATCAGAAGCGGTCATATTATCCCACCTCTTCGTTAGGGAAACAGCGAACGGCCCATCAGACACTGGCTCGACATGCATGCGTTTACTGTACACTTACTTTGGAAGAGTTTATTCCTCTTCCTCCTCCTCCTCTTCTTCCTCTTCCTCCTCCTCCTCTTCTTCCTCACTCTCTTCCTCCTCTTCCTCCTGGGGAAACAACGATCAATCGTCAATGGCTATCTCTACAGATCGACTCTTGCTTATTTATCGTAATTAGCTAATAGGGTAAGGCTACACGGGCTAAGAACAACGCATTACTGTTCGTCTTTATCCAATTTGCAATGCTTGTTATCTTAAAGTTATTTCAACATTTAGACGGTTGTATATTTGTATCGTGTATCGTATATTACCAGCGTGTGTATCGTGTACGGACGTGTATGTGTAGGCCGTATTTCATCCAGCCAGGTATCTACCCATTGTTATTTTTCTGCCGTGTATCAGCCGTACTGACCAGGGGTTCGGGCTCGATCTCGGCCGGGGGTACTAGCTCCTCCTCCTTCTCCTCCTCCTGGGGGGTCTCGGGGTCATCCGACTTCTTGCCGGGTCGCTCACCGAACCACTTTGGGAGGCGCGCTGGGGACGGACATCGGGTGGGTCAGAGCGGGGAGGGGTGGAGGGGAGGCGCGCTGGGGACGGACAGCGGGTGGTCAGATCGGGGAGGGGTGGAGGGGAGGCGCGCTGGGGACGGACAGCGGGTGGTCAGATCGGGGAGGGGTGGGGCAGGTCGGGCCGCGACACCGAACCACTTGGGGAGGCGCGCTGGGGATGGACAGCGGTGGGTCAGATCGGGGAGGGGTGGAGGGGAGGCGCGCTGGGGACGGACAGCGGGTGGTCAGATCGGGGCGGGGCAGGTCGGTGAAGGTCACCGAATTTTTGGGAGAGGGCTTCTTGGTGTGGCGTTTTAGTGGCTTTGAGAAAAATCATGATGTATGGGATTTTATTTTTGACAGTATAGAACTCGACGCCACTCAATCCACGACGCATAAAGACTAATTATGCATCAAAAGGGGGTAACAGCTGCAATAGTTATGTCGAGGGTTTCGACACAAGTTTCGACAGTTGGTAGAAGAGAGCTTTATTAGTCGATCCCCTAGCTGCCTTACGAACACAACCAGAGCACAGATAGTCGTTCCCCTGTAAAAGAAAGATGACATTGCACAGAGAAGAAGTCCTAAATCGGAAGCGATAGAACAGAAAAGACACACAACTTGCTCACGAAGAGAATTGATCGGGTCATTGGTTTTATTTACCTTTACTGCAGAGTCTAACAGTCGGCTGAAGTAAATTCACGCCCAAACTTAAGTCGCATCGAGACAAATACTCTATGACATCTGACTCTGACTAAGATTCTGACTGACTCAAGTACGACATTGTAATTGTTCTAGTAAACGTCAACCCAGATCACTGTGTCATACACAGAAGGAATCTGATGCTACACCAATAAAGGGTCGTTAGGGTATAATAAACTGTTAAATAGCGTGCTATTAGTGCGGCTCCGAAGCCCCTACAGACCTTTGGAGCGGTGGTCGAAGTCTTTCAACTTTTCCGCCCACTGCTTCTCCTTGCATTCCTTCTCCTGGTTGATAAAGCCCTGTAGATGACATCGCCCACTACGGTCAAAATTCTACGACGGCACACGCCCGCCTTTGTACAGCGGCATGCAACGTACAGGGTCAGTCATTCGGTCAGCCGCCGGCGTCGGGCCAGTCCAGCGGCCGCGCCGGTGCTGCCACCTGCGGGGAAAAATCTAAGCTAAGGTTCCACGTCGAGCCGCACGTCCTAGGCCGGATTCGACCGTGGTGGGCGCGTGTAAAAAATTGATAACGCGCCGCTAGCTGACGACTGGTGACACCGACTAGTGACGTCACTTACTCTTGGGCCGCTTTTCCCACTCCTGTTTCTTCTCACCCCACTCCTTTTCGAGGTGTTCTTTATTGATATTGTCCCATCCCTGTGGCATACAAGGCGCTCTGATACGCCGCCAACAGATCCCCCGCATTTTCAGCCCACACTGACACTCCCACTGTCCGGCACATTTACGTATGCATCCGATGCTCAACCAATATATGCAGTCAAAATAATAAATTAACTTCAAATAAACACACTTCAACACCTAAACAGCGATGGTGTTACCGGTTCGCAACAGCAAGGTTGGTGCAATGTTTCAATTCTGCTCGGGCAAACTTGACCTTCAAAAGACGAGCTACACTGAATATGCTAATTCGATCTGTTTCCCGGGTTGTTAAGCTCTTTTTTTTTAGTAGAAAATATTTCCAGATTGCATATTTGACATCACCCTAAAATAACTCACTTGATGATGGACTATGCATGTCATTTCAAGATTCTAATCACGCAATAATGAAGTACATGAGTTTTGAATATAACTTGTAGGCGTGTTCAAAAATGGACGTGGCTACTGGACCCGGCTCAATTAGACCAAATAAGTTACCATGCAGGCAGTATGACTGATGACAATCGAGGAACTTTTCGCTGGGCTGATAAAATATGGAACGGTCGGCACCCGTTGCAAAGCAATGGTTTTATAATTAACCATAACTGGCCGTGCTTTGGTTTAATAGGATGTCCCAGACGATTAAGACCGTTTTATGAAACACCGCTGCTTTTCTGAAGACCCGTTAGTTTGATTAGACCATCAAACACGAAAGTCGTCTACGTTACAATTTAGACAAAATTGAGCATAGAGTCGTGAATTCATCGTGTGAGCGGAGCCTATGCACATCATGTGGAGTGCAAAGTGTAGAGACGAACGTCGAACAGGCAGTGTCTTGGCATGTCGTCCTCGACAAATTCCGCGGTAGCCTTGACTGAACATCCACTGTACTTTCATTCTGACCGTGACCACGACCATAAAAAGCAAACAGCGCAAATCACAAACAAATACCTGCATGATAGTCAGATAGGCGGCTCCAAAAATCGGTGCCATCGCCGGCTGGCCGGGCCGAAAATCGGCCCCAGTCTCTATGCGATCGCGAGCGCTCGAGTCGACAACCCGGCACAAATACGGTATGTGAAAAGAGTCGTAGGTGTCACTTACGCCGGCGAAGAGATCCTTCTTGTCGACGTAGGTCCGGCGGTCGATGGTGCGCTCAAACTTGGAGGCGGTCTGGATCTTGGGCTGTGGGCAGAACGAGCGGTCGATGTTTAAGAATGAAATTATTTACGTAAGATATTCTGAGTTCACTGTAATGAGTGTGACCTGGGAAAGTGCTATGAATTATTTCTGCTCTATTTGCTCGTATCAAGCGATTCGGACGGATTATGTAAATCCGAGGTCATTTGGCGGTAGTGCTTAATATCACATTTGCATATTGATCTAGCAGTGATATTTTAGATTTGTACTCCGACCTTAACACGACATGCACTAATTTACCGCTAGCATGGTTCCAAATGACCAAAATAATCCCCCTTTCACCCATTATTAGAAAGTGTTGTCATTGTAAGGCATTTCTAACGGACCGAGCCCGGTGTAGCATTGCGGATTCATCGTCCAGTATAACCGTACCGATACGGGGTGCGTGAGTCGCCACTGTCAACTTACCGGGTGCTTTCCAGTCAGGGCCCTGGAAGGAAGCCGATGCGGTCAGATAGGCGCGGCAGCGACGGGGCGCGACTCGGAGTCACACACGCTACCGCCGGACATCGCGACATGAACCGGATCCGGCCGCACCAAAGAACCGATTTTAATGCAGCTCTTCAGCGCATTCCTAACACATCGAACAAGTACAGCGAAAAGTCCGAAATAAACACGCAAACTGGATATTTCCCAGGACGTCGTCACCGGTGAAGACGGTGATACGATGTGGTGAAAGTATCGCCTGTGTATTCCGTTTGGCGTGATATGACAGTAATTTTCTAACGCTAGGTCCTGTTCAATATGTCACCAGTGCCGTTACAGATCAACTAAGCCACAGATATACATATTTACAGAGCTAGGCACTAGGCAGTACTTTACATTGAACAACGATAAGCGACGATTAATTGAAAATGCCCTCTCCAGCCCAACTGAACTGATTTAATTTTACATTACACACACAATACGATACAAACCAACCTGGACCGGCTTGTTACTCTTCGTTCCGGCGTGTCTTGCGGCTAGTCGTGCAGTAGCGGCGGTAATGCCATTAGCGCCGTTACCGTTGTTCCGTTTTAGTCCATATCATGTCACTTACTCTACCCCTATTTAGATTCATTTCCCGTTTACATGGTTTCTATTGTACCCGTTTACGTGGCTAAAGTTTTCGAGCATATGGTTCATTAGTTCATATTATACCCCCAAGCTGGACCTATTTTGAAGAATTGGATGCTCGGACACGGTTGATTTTACATGTGGACATTGCCGTATGAATAAGAGCGGGCCCAACTCGCTCCACCACCAATCCCCAACGACCAGGAGCTCCTACGAAGTCACTTCAACCCCGGACAGTAAAATTAATTCGTCCCGGACCATCCCCTCCCCGTCTACTTACTCGGGCTCGAGTCCGAGCCTGACGGCCTTGTGTCGCAGCTGCATCTTCTGTCGCTCCTTGAGCTCCTTCAGCTGTGTCGTGCAGAGGCGACGGGGGGTTAGCCAGGTGGCCGCAGGCACAGGCGCACCGGGGGTCTACACACTACTGTGGCTACAGACTAGGGCGGGGCAGGGTGGCCAGAGGCTAGGGCGGCGACGGGGAGAGAATGACGAAAATTCGGTGGCAAGACGTGAGAGCTTGAGTTGCCGGTGTGTGAACGGCAAAATATGTGTGAGGCTATTTATCAAAACTCCGCGTGGGCTGGCGGCTGTTTGATAAATAGCTTTCCTCAATGCGCCGTTTTGCACTGGTCAACTCAAAGCTCCACTCCTGCGCTGCAAAGTTTCGTCAGTTCGCTCCCGCCGCCAGCTCAGGTTCGTGGCCTCGAGCTGGTGTAGAAAAAGGTGCTATTTGGGTCACAGTTGTCCGTGGTTAGGTATGGTATATCGGCAGCGGCAGATCCGCCGAGAAAAATGCCGGCCAGGTAAGGTCTGGGTCGGCGAAAGCAGCCTTGCGGTGGCGTCTGCCTCAAAGTTCGTGACGAAGAACAGTTTCGAGGCGAGACAATGGTGGGCTGCGGCCGCTGGGGCCGCCGGAATGTCAGGGTGGTCTCCCCAGCCCGTTATCGGGCTCTGGAGCGGGCATGGGGTGAGGGTCTGTTGCTCTTTGTGCACGCATGGTGCAGCATACCACCACTGCGACCCAGTAAGGTAACTGAGCGGGATTACGGATGTTTGGTTTATATTGATGCTATGCTCGTGAGACCTTTTTAACTATTTGTTATACTCGTACCTACCGATTCAATATTTGTAAAAACATGCCATTTGTTATATCTGTGACCATCTACGTCTCGCAAACATGATTTGGTAATAAAAACTATCCGAAAAACTACAAATAAAGGAGAAATAAGATTTAGAGGAAACCAGCAAATTTTGCTCAAAATTTTGTCCCACCTCACTACTTTATGGAAAGTTGTCTATCAGTAGAAAAAAGCATCTACACCATGCAAAGATAAATCTACTCGCGCTATAATACATGAAGAGATCTGGGCGTAGTCACACGTGCAGCTGGTGCTAGAAAATTGTGGTCTGTGCTCCGGCGGGGTCTACAATAGTGGGGCGTCTATGGAAATAGGGTGAACTGGCCGGCCCCGGGTCAGCCAGCGAGGTATGGCCAGTCTGCTCGGCGTGCTGGGGTCACCTATAGTTATATTCCGGCACTTACTCGGGGTCAAGTCCTTTCTTAAGAGCTTTGTGGCGGAGCTGCATCTTTTGCCGCTCCCTGAGCTCTTTGAGCTACAACAAACGTGGAGCCAAGGAGCTATGATACGCCGCCGCCGCTGCTGAATACACTTTGATATACGACACGGCACACGGAACGCTGACAGCGGAGACCAGAACACTGAGGACACCACACACGGCGACGGATGCTTGGCTACTCATCAGTCATGCTCCATCCCTGCTCCATCCTATCAGTTTCTGTCTACCAAATTATCTCGTCTACACGGGCATTATCTACACACACGCTTCCATTGGAGGTTTCGATGCATAAAGTAAATACTATAGTCTCTAAGTATGAAACTGTCAAATTCAGGAGATCAACCTTTTCAACAACTATCAACTACATCATCCTATTAACTCAGGCTAGGTGATCATCAACCTATCCATCTACTAAGGGTCATACAGATCGGTTGCTTACTGTCGTGGCAGAAACGGCTGACCAGGACAGTCGCCTGGGCTCTCACGGCCTCGCAGCGGGGCTGGCGCCAATAAAAACATATGGTTTAACCAAATTATGTTTTGAATTTGGTCTGTCACTTCACCCAACAATTACTTTATGTCTTTAGTATCGGACGTTGAATATCGACATTTTAACTCCAACAAGTAGCAAAAACATCCCGGTTTTCCCTTTCAAAGGTTTATCAGATCTGGGGAAAAATTATTAAAATTACAGCTGCAGTAGCAACCCATCTACATAGTGCAGCTTCCTAGTAATATGCCAGCTAGTATATCCCCTCGGATGCTCTTCCCAAGCAGGTATCGGGCCTGTATCATAACGCCAACTTACGTCGTAGTCCTGGCGCTTCTGACGCTCCTCGAGGTCGTACTTGTCCGTCTCGAGCTGCACCAGCTGTGTCCACAGGTCATCGGCCTTCTTTTTGAGCGACTCCAGGCCCATGCCCTGGGATGAGCAGAGCCAGCGGAAGATTAGGATCAGCGCTATTGAAAAAGATAGCATTGCTGGCTTGCGGTGTTTAATCTGAGTCCCGTTAGTTTCTATCGATGTGGACATAATTATATCGATTCATGACGCATATTTTAGTCAATATTACGTATTTAATTGATGAATAACAACCAGCAAATTATTAACCAGCTCAGAACGGTTTGCATAGGCCATTGTTTCCGATACCCAAGCAGACAATTCAAACAAATGTGACCCGAATATTACAAATCAGGTACTTGACGTTTGCGAGCTAAGCGTGAGTCAAAGCAGGCTTCGATCAGCCACGGAGGCGGCTTCACTCACGTCCAGGTTGAGTTTCTTGATGCGGACGCTCATGGCGAGCTGTTTCTCCTCGGCCAGCTGCTCCTTAGTCTTCATGACCTCGGCCTTGGCGGGCGTGGAGCTGGTCTGTTGAGGGGAAAGGGGCGGGGTCAGACGGCTTCGCATCGAGTTGACGTAAGTCGTCCTCACTCCTCATTGACATTTTCAGCAGTCTTATTTTTTCATGATCGTAGTGCTTCTGGACTTGACTTTTGACTTTTGAAATTGGACACTTAGAGAGAATGTGCGATTCTAACGTACACTGGCTCTTAGGGGCATATCTCTTAGAAGTCCTCCGTAACGGTATTCAGTCTCATCACTCCCACGTCCACGCCCTCTCCTCTTTCCCATCCTTCCCAGCTCACCGCGTCTCCGCTCTTGCTGATCTTGATCTTTCCTCCGGCGGTGGCTTTGGAGGCCTGCTCGAGCAGCTGGCGCTTCTTCTCGGCCTCCTCGAGGCGGCGGCGCTTTTCCTCCATCTCGCGCTGCTTCTTCTCCTCCTGTTCGCGCAGACGGCGCTCATCCTCGACCTTCTTGGCGGCCGCCAGGCGCTTCTCCTCCTCGGCACGCAGGACCTGAAGACGGAGGATCATCATCGTCATTGGGTCGTCATCATCATAAGGAGGTTGGCCATCAAAGGTCGTGCTCTGATGTAAGAATGATGCGATGCGGCGTTGAATAACGAGATATAGGTGACCACACGAAGTGAATACAAGCAGCAGACAAGTATGCATGCGAGAGTCCCGTTGATTACACGCTATTTCAATGCACAGTAGCTTCCCGAACAAACCTGGCTCTCTAGCCTCCTAGCGCAAAGCAGTTTTTCAAGGCGCAAGTCCAGTTTGACCTTAACTCGCTGTTGCCGATCGTCTCACCTTGCGCTTGGCCTGTTTCTCGCGCAGGTTTTTCAGCTCTTCCTCCTCCTTGGCGCGCTGTTTGCGCCACTCGGCGATGTACTCTTTGAGCTGTTCATCCAGCTCGGAGGTGGTGGTCTGCTGCCGATGCTGTCAGACGCCACGGGGGGTAACGGTCAGGTCATCATAATACGAGTATGTTAGGGAACATGAGGGGCTCACGCTTGCTGATTAAGCGCGCGTTACTACGTCAAAGGAAAAAGGAATTCCTGAGAGGTAAAATGTCACGCTGAGGCGAATTCGGCGAAATCATAGACAGTTAGGACATGGAACTAGAAAAAAAAAATACTTTGTAGATAACATATTTCTACTATTTGCGAACAAGTCGCCATGTGAATTATTAGATTCGTTCTTCATTGCATCTTTTGTTTGACGTGAAATGGCGCTTGGTTGTGGATGTTAAAGGAATGTAGATGTTAGCGGCATACTTACAGTGAAGATGTTCTCCTCTTTCTTCTCCTCAGCATGCCTGGAACGTAACAACAGAGCACGTGAACATAATGTATCGAGTCACTGTATGGCGATTGGCGAACGTAGGTACAATACGATAGGCGTTCCGACTTCTCCAATGGACACTGTACCCGGGCAGGATTGGGCCGGATTCCCTGGAAATGTATCATGAGTCATAAACAGACCAGGCAAGGCCTCCCAGCATAAACAATTAAACAATGAGCCATTATGCGTTGGCGATGTCAGCTTAAGCCGTGTTTGCTTGTTGTTATATAATTGTTGTTAAATAGAACAGCAAACTAAAGAGCGACTGAGCGAAAATAGCTAGGCAGAATGCGACTTAACATAAATACAGCGCAGGTTTATGAATAAGTTCATTGAACCTAAATGCCAGCGACTGCTAAAAGCAACTGAAGATTCGCCATGGTTCGGTCGTAAAGCGATACTCACGATTTTACCAAGCCTCGTGTCACACTACGATCGATGATGAAACAGATATAGCGTGTTCCCACCGACTCAACAGCGCCAGAGCAAGCGGCATTGAACACACGGATAGCCCGACCGGCACACGGACAAACGCAAGCGTCCACTCCCCCACACACGGCAGGGGTGTGGGTGGATCACACGGCGGCACATGATAGATGTGGGGTTAGACGCCGCTGTCCGGCCGAAACCAGCGCCACAGCGCAGACAGAGCACCGCCACCAGCGGTACGGGGCGTGTCACAGGTAGAGCACCGAAAACGGAGGTACGGAGCCCGTCCACAGGTCACACACGCCGTGAAAAAACACCACCACGCTGGGTCAAACCGGCCGCCCGACGGGTCGGAGGCATGCACAACCACGCAACACCTCACAGGATAGCTGAAAACAAGAAGCTGAAAACGAACGTGGAGGATTGTGGACACACGAGTGACGTGAAAATTGGGAGTCATGAGAAGCTTTGACTAAAAAATAGTCTTCGGCTGTTTTTTTTTTCTTTACCAAAAATGTGTCCACAAATATCCTTGGTCAAGGATTTGTCCCGAAATTCGAATGTCTTTCGAAGGTCTATTTATTTTAATCAAACTTCGTTTTTTTTCTTAAAAAAAACTTTTCAACTTTCAAGTTTTACTTGACTTTATATGAATAACAAAAAGCCACATAAATTTTCACGTCTCTGCGGGAGAAATGTACACTGAGGTGGTGGACAGTGAGACAAGATGTGCGTCAGTTTCCACACCGTCACAGCACCACGGCACAGCCCTCCCACTTACTTTGCAGGCTTCGGCCTGTGGGCGACGGGAAGGGCGCGTTAGTGAACCACTTGTGGGCGCTACTGACGGCGCAGCTTAGCACCACTAGAGGTCAGTGCCTAATTCAAACGCTATGGGTAGCTAGCTGGCTAACCAGTGACTAAAGCATTCCAAGTCGGCATTTGACTGATCTCGAGTTACGCTAAATCTAGAAACTAGCGCTAGTAAACTATGGGCATACTTCATCGCAAAGAGTTTGCGCTGCAAAGTGATTGAGTTTTACGTCTGCTGGTGAGTTTTCTACAGTCACGGTGCACAGTTCGACGACTGGGGCGGTATTAAATGAGGTCGATGACGTGTTAGGTTGGCATTCATATTTCTCGGTGAGGTTAGCTATGCATCACATGCTGTGAAAAGGCATTGGTTAGGAAAATTGGTTATTCTTTTGATATGATGGGCATTGTAGCGGTGTAAAAACAGTCTGGGGTTTTGCAGACACATTGAATTGTTGTTTGATGTAGTCAGTACATTCCCAGCCTGCTCAGTGCATATGTTGTAGGCTGTAGCCCTTGCATTTTTCTGTAATATATCGCGGTCTGCATATGTATTTAGTTTCGTGACTTTTCCTCACCTTCCTTGAGCTAGTTGGCAACCAGAAGGACAAAGAATAACGATTTCAAACCAGCAATGAAAGCATGAAAAGGTGAATTTCCCGTTTTATAATCGACATAAAAGCCAACTCTCGTCTGATAACTAATTGATGGATGTTATACCATCGGTTACTTGCAAAGAGTTTGACGCTCTTGCAGCATGTCCGTCATACATAACACGATATCCGATTTTTGTTTTTTTTTTTTGCTCGGAATTTGGTGGAACTGGCACTGTTCAAGTCCGGCATCGTATTTTTTTACAGTAAAAATGGCTCATTGTCACCTAAATGGACCACAGGTGGTCAATTATATCCGCACCCTTTATTGTTTGCCAGTACCCTGAACACGAAAAACGCCGTTCCACCGTTAGGGTGGCACCGAAACAGCGGCACGTATAGGAAGGAATCCCAATCGACCACGTGCTTCGGGCAAGGTACATACTGTTTACTTTTATTGCATGCTGGATGTGCCGATATTTCTACATTTACCTCTGGTATCAAACCTCCCTGCCTTTCACAAATACTGGAGTCATGCTAGCCACATTGGCACATGATGACACCATAAGGCATTTTCGTTACATTATTTGCAGTTCAAAACGATACCCATTTTGCGGAACATGCAGTGGAACTTTCCAGAGCACCTAGCCAGACATCCTTTTCCTACCGCACAACCAGTTTTCGTAAAGCAAGTAAACTCACGATATGTCATTTCGTACGAAGATTAGCATAACCACAAGTCACCTCTGACAAGTGACAATGTGCCTTCTGCTTAGTCAGATAACAAGTGTGTTTGCATGTCAAAATGTATAACCGCGTGGGCTGTGTATATTATCTTAGTGTGTCACATTAGCGAGGGTCGGTCAGTGGTGGTTAGGACGGGGGGGGGGTCACACACGCCATGCGGTACTCACTCCTCCTGTTTGGGAGCCTCCTCCTCCTCCTCGCTACTGTAGATGGGAGGACAGAGCGCCGGTCAGATAAAGTTATAGAGCAGCGGCGGCGGTGGGCGACGCAGACATGTAGGAGGGAGAGGGAAGAGAGGAAAGGGGGAGTGGAGAGGGAAGAGAGAAAGAGGAATAGGAAGGAGAGGGAGAGAGGGAGAGAGAGAGAGAGAGAGAGAGAGAGAGAGAGAGAGAGAGAGAGAGAGAGAGAGAGAGAGAGAGAGAGAGAGAGAGAGAGAGAGAGAGAGAGAGAGAGAGAGAGAGAAGGGAGTAAAGGAGAGAAGGAAATAGAAGGTCGCATGGAAGCTGCAAGTCACACACATCGGCCCGCCTGTAGCTGTCAATGCTAATTATATCTTAATCGTTACGGGCGGGTTTTACGAAAAAGGTATAGCTGTTCTATGTCAATCACTCCACACTAGCGATGGGTCTATGTCTGTGTATGAAGGTGTGTCTTCTAGCAAACAGTTTTAATCGGAAAGTAAGGATAAAAAACAGAACGTTTCTGACGTTTTTTTTCTTCTAATACTACTATGTCTGCAAAAAATATGTATGGCATAGAATAAAAATTGAGACCATCAGCAATTCACAAAATATTTATGCTAAAAATATGGTGGCAAAACGTAAGGATAAAACGCCCGCAGTGTAACTTTGTGTTCGATCACTCCGACTCTACTCTAGTAGGTATTTGCAGTTGGTACTTACACCTCCTCTTCTTCCTCAGAACTGAAACCAGAGGCACACCCGGTTAGCAACGAAACTCGACGGCCGCATCAGCCCAGCCGAGCAGGCTCGCAGCTTTAAGCGAAAAACAAAGTTTGAGACAAAGCACGCAAAGTGGCGTCAAAGTCAGCCTAGTCAGCGTACTGACCCGAGTACGGACTCGGCAGTGATAAACGTAACAGCGGCGCAAAATAAATTATAGACATACACCGACTTCACATAGACACTGATAAAATAGTCTGAAGCAATTAGCTGTATGAATACACTGGGTTAGGGCGCTTGCGATCGTCGTTAGTGGCTTCAGAAACGAGACAATATTTTGGGGGGCTTCAATCACCCATGAGCCTAAAAAAATATTAGCTTAGGTTATTTTTGGAAGATTAATTTTCGATGATATGCCAAAAACATATTTATCCTATCATGGTATCTACAAGCGGTGCTTACATCAAAATGATAAAATAGTTATATTTTATGGATAAAAAAGAACGAACAGTTGACTGCTAAATTTCAGTAGTTATTGCTATTTAAAATTGGCCATGAACTGTACTGCTATATGCCGGACGTGAATAAAATGAGGAATAGCATTTAAACTTAGTTTCTGAATTTTTTCGTAGTTCAAATATCTGACATTAACATGAGAGCAAAAAACGTGGTAAATAGTAAATGAATATTAAACAGTAATTTACCAAACAAAAGTCTTCATGTCGTAAAACAGAAAAGTCAAAATTAATCGTGAAAATGTTTCGCAGTTAGTTTATAAGATAGCGCAGAACGAAATGCAAGAATAGTTAGGACGCCTTCTTCACAAGAGACGGTGTTCGCCGCCATACGAATGGATAAGATATGAAAAGGATCGATCAGTTGATATTAGCGGTACTTACGAGTAAACCTCCTCGTCGTCAGACATGATGCTGTGTTTTTATCTGAAAACAGAAGCATGAATCAGTTAGCATGGTTAAAAAACACAGCTTGTGGGATGTGGATACGTTACGTTGCGTGCAATTGTATCGAACGTCGCCGTTCACTCTAACAGGACTTACCCGGCAACAATCAATATAAAATTATTGTGCTGATGCGCAGGGTAAACATGAAATGATTGAAGTACCCGGCCGTTGCAAATCAGTCTACCTTCGTGCGTAATTAATCGCAAAGGCCATCGTAATCTAAGCTTCCCAGTACCCACTAAATTCCCCGAAGAGCAGTGAGACATACTGCCTTGAGTGAGACCGTCAGGCGCAGAGCCGCCGTCTCGCTGGGACGGCGGCAGGGTGGTAGGCTAGCCCGCCGAACAAGAGTGTCGTGCGGTACAGTCTACCATGCCAGTGATTCATCTCCGCTCCACCGACCGCGCATGGCGGGGGAGAGTGAAATAGCGCGAAGTAGGAACCTAGGGTAATGTAAAAACTAAAATTCATATGACCGCACTATTTATCAGAAGTGGATTATGATCGTACTCGATGTAAGCAGGTTTAGGGGGAGGGTGATTTGTTTCGCAAGAAGGCAATGGCAAATGTAAATGCTCTGTCATTTCGATAAAGAAGCGATCAATAAGGGAATAAATGCCGCATATTTTCAACATCGATATAACGGCATTTACAATTGCTGGGTACAGAACATGTTTCGTACCTATAACTGAAGCAGTTACATCATGCATTTGGTGGGTACTCGAGAAGATACCCATGACTTCGAGTAGAAGTCATCAACAAGTGGGCCGAACAATAAGGAAAGAATATATGTAAATAGGTACACTCGGGGGCAGATTGATGTTCCACCACTCCCTACCCATCGGGCTCCCATGGCTCAGCACTGGCTGCTGCCAGTGGCAGCACTGACAGCACTGGCACTGGCAGGCAGTGCTGACCAGTGCTGAGAGCAGGCAAGACTGGCAGCAGCCAGTGCTGAGCCATGGGAGCCCGATAGGTAGGGTGTGGTGGAACATCAATCTGCCCCGAGTGTACCCATCAGCAACCAGCATACATGTAGAAATGCAAAAAAAAAATAGCACCCAACTAAATAATATAAGTTTTAGCGAAGGGAGAACATCTGGGGCGTTTTCTGATCAGTGAGTTGGGCCCGCTCCGAGTAAAAGCCGTTCATCTCTGGCCGTCTGTTCGTCGTCTGGCCTCCCGCCGGCACCCCATCGGTGGTTGGTGCCAGGCCTGTCTGGACGCCGGCCAATCAAAACTCCCACATCCACTTTCTGGCGCCGGCGTCGCGAACTTTACTCCTCAGGAATGCGCTCGACGAACCACAGAAGATGGCGGCGCCCGCCAGTACACGTCCACAGATGAATGATATGGCTGCCTGCAAGTGTTCGTGAAAAATACGTACAGTGTTCGACATATTATCTAGACCGATTTCTGCAGCAGCCAGCAATAACGGTGCGGAGTTTTTCACTTTTACTGCCATTGCACCACGGAATGGCTTCATAACGCAAACTATCGTGACTATATTCACAAATACCTATGCACTTTTGCCGCTAATGCTGGCAAGGATAAATACGTCCTGGTAGGATGGAGGAACCTGGCTGATGCCAACGTCAACTGCCGGTGTTTTCTATGAAACTACGTCTGGTTGAATAGTTGGCAGCCGGGGCCTGGTGCACGGGCCAGCCCCACCGACACCCACCCCCTAGCCAAGTGCAGGAGGTGTCGGCCCACATAACGGGCCGTCGAGCATGGGGGCGGTGGTCCTCCTAACGACCCAGGCTGACCTCCAGCGCCCGCGCCAGCAGAGGTGTTAAACGTCGCCGAGACGACCCATGCCAGACAGCACAGATTGTCACGGCCATGGTTTGGACTGCACGAACCCGGAAAGACGGGCGGTAGTTTGCAGTAAGGCAGAATAATTATATAAGTCGTCGTTTGGAAATTGGAAGAATGTAAGTACATAAAATATAATGCAAAAATATGATAACATGGTGCTTACTGACCATTCTATGGAAAATGTCTGCGAGGCTTTTAAGCGGGGCAATAGGTACGCTAATTATATAACCCTTTACAATTCGCCGCGCTGCCTTCAGACCTAAGGCATAGGCGAAGGAACGCCTCCCCCCCCCCACTTTTCAGCCATTTTTAAAGCAAAATCTTAATTTTTTTATTTTGATACAAAACTAAGAACAGGAAATGGTTCAGCAAGGTGAAATGAGCACAAATAATTTATTCATATAAACCGCAAATAATTTATTCATAGGGGAAATGGGGCTCCACAAAGTGATTTGAAGTTTCGCTATAGCCCCTTCCCCCAACACACACACTTTTGGTGAGGTTCCCACGCCCATGACATAAGGGTTGCAGTTTCTCTTTTTTTCATAAATCGTTTTACATTGGGTAAGGAAGGATGGGGCAGTTTGAGCTAAGACGATCAATGTCGAATCTCTTGCTTTTATAGCTTCGATTTTTTATTTTTTATTTATATATTTTTTATTTTTGTTATTTTTGTCATAAAAGTAGCAACAAGGCATCAAACTTTCAGAACAGAAATTTCTGCGATTAATGACAACAGTCATGAATGGAAATGAAGTGTTTAAAGTTCATCAAAGCATTTGTGTGTTTTTACCTGAATGCTCACACTTCGCTATTTAAACTTAAAAGCAGAACAGGGAGCATTGAAAACTTTTCTTAAAAACAAGTGTTAAGGGGAAGATAAAGAGTAAATGTATGTGTTATAAAACAGTATAATTTTCATTTTCTTTAAAAAATGTAGGCATTACGTTACGTAGGTAAATGTCCAGATGCTTTTAATAAAATCCGAATGTTTATGTAACAATAAAATAAAATCAGCTAGCATCCGTGTATAATTTGATCCATGACAAGCGTCTTCAGAACATAATCTGACTCTGGCACGCAGTGACGTTACTTTCCAAGACAAACAAAACGGCACAAAGTTCAGCTTCCAGGTGGTACAACAGTTCCACAGGCCGCCGGCAGAGGCGCTGGCGTCGGAGGTATTTTTGGACGGCCCATTTTTGCGGCCGGGGCGGGCGGCCGAGCTCGGGCGCGGAGGCCTCGTGGGGGATGCTATCGCGGCGCGCCTGTCCGTTCAACACGGGACAGCCGGCAGGCCTGCTGTCAGGCACGCCGTGTCACGCAAAACACGTGTTGGTAATGGAGCCAAGGCAACTGGTGAACTGAGGTTTTCAGGTTTCCGTCTAAGGAATATTGAACAGGATATTTCAATAATTATATTTTGTCAGGTAATGAGATAATATTCACCTAGTTGTCGCACTTGCATGCAACCACGAGGACAAACAATGCAGAACATGCGATTTTAAGTGAGTAGGTAGTAGGTACTTGCATACCTAGCGCTTTCACTGCAGGGGAACGAACCGTTTTATATAACAATTCCCAGAAAACAGATGCCATGTCCACTTTCTTACCCACGCCCCCAACTTTTTCTTCACTACTCCCACCCGCCCAAGGCCAGGGCAGCACAAACTAGCGTGTTCAGCTCCGGGAGGCCGCCCTTTTGACTGCTTGTTTACAGCGCGTCTGCGACAGCCGATAAACAGGGGAGACAGGGTGCTGACTTCCTGGAGCTCGCGCGATGCGTCACTCTCCGAACCGGAGCTAATTTCGCCCGCGGCTGCAACCCGGCCGCAGCACACAGCGCATGCGCAGACCGGGGATGACCTATTTCGGCGGTTGGGGCCCGGGACCACGCCCTCTACCTCGGGCATGCTCTAGTTCGAGCGGTAATTCATAATACACGGGGAGGACATGCTTACAATCGAAGGTGCATGCATTTCAAAAGCAACTGTGCTCGCTAGAAAAAGATCGCTTGTGACGACCCGACAAAAGATAACGCTTCTTGAAAGCATCGGTCACTATAGAGTACTTCAGTGCATGCAGAGAGTTGACTTAACCATGGCTTTCCGAACTAACAGAAGGGTACAAAAGTAGGCTTCTATTGCGCACTAGGCATGGGTAACGTCCTCAACAAAAGCAACAACCGGTTGCAATGGAAGAAATTTAGGCTTTCTGGAATTGCAGCCCTGAAAAAATGGTATGGTTCCATTGCATGCCACGTGTAAGGTCATGAAAGCATGCCATAATTATTCCAATCTGGAACAAATTAGCAGAAGTTTTATAGATAAACAAGTCAGCGAGTACTTCTGCTTTCACTGAAGAGGCATTCGAGCTTGGCTCCAGCACTCAAGGACGTAACGAAATGTATCGTGATGTCCCATAACGTGCACCATACGCCACTCGGTGTCCTTCTGATATGTTCCTGTCACCGCATCCGTGTCGGTCACACCACTCCAGACAGTTCCAAGTCCTTGGAAATCAACTCCAGCCCGTGTACCTCACAGCCAAGACCCAGAGGTCACCAGATAGCCACAAGGCATTGGTCACCAGGCGCCGCTGACCGCAGGGCGCGGGGCACACCACGGACACGCAGACACACAAACACACACACAGTCACCACAGGTCGCCGTGGCGCGCAGCGTCAGCCGCTCCGTGCGCTGAGGCTGGTGACGGAGACGGGCGGCACTTACGGGTGGCGCCGGAGAAGCTCGAGAGACAGCGCGGAGAGAGACCGCAGCCGGTGGAATGTGATCACGGCGAGGGTCCGTCGGCCTCTGAGAGCCACCGCCGTCCAGCACGGGGAGCAGAGCCGCCCAGCAGAGGCTGGAGGAGAGCCAGTGCCAAACTTAGACCGCCCCGGCAGCTGGCTCCAGCGCTCGGCGGCTCCGGTGGCAGCCGGCCCGACACCCTACCCTCGGTACCGAGCACTGGGCCAGGCTTTACGCTGAGCACTGTGCAGTGTGCAGAGTACATGTACATTCGGTACAGCCCGACGCCCCTACCCTCCGCACTGAGTGCTGAGCAATGCAGGTCGAGTTCACGCTATGCAGAGTACATTCAGTACAGCTCGACACTCTACCCACGGTACTGAGCAGTACAGGCCAGCGAGCTATCCTAGGGTACCAGTGACTGATCTTTTGGTACACCTTATACACGATGCTTAACGCTGGGAACTGAGTCCCGCATTGCTCCCTATACCCACTTTACAAGGATAAAGCACGGCAGCACACTATGCCAAGGGTACTGAGGACTTCCTCCAGTAGTATACATTGCCACGGTACACTGGCCACTACCCCAAGGTCCGAGCCGAGCAATACATTTTATGTCCTTCCCACGGTATTTGGGACTGATAAGTGATAACAGCAGCCCAAAGTAGGACTTCAGGTACTGGAGTCTGAGTCTAACAGAAATCGCAGCCAACGGCACTGCCACTAAGGATGAGGCCCAGTGGCAATTAGATTTGAAGGCAGCTAGCTACTAGCTTCAATTATAGTACCTGATCTCAGCTCAGTATATATAATTAAAATACTTAAAACGCTACGCTCATAGCCGAGCCACGAATCTTGTTAACGAAACATGCAATATGCCATTTACGGGCAAGGAGCCAACTATGGGGAATCTTGGTAGGACGCCCGAAGGGTAATTTCCTGCATTGTGGCAGGTCTTGGAAATGCCTGTCGCATAGCCTCCCGTTACCCTCCGCTCCACGCAACTTTGATGCATGTACGTTGTACAATGACAGTCGGCAGTCTCGCGATGTCAAAGTCAAGGTTCTTTTACAGTCAAAACGTTCACGCAGCACCGCCGTGGCAGTTCAACCGGGTCCGAACCGTTCAAACGGATTGACAAAGGGCCCGTGCCGCAACGAGGGAAAGGGTCTGCTTAATTAGCTAAATAACTTCGCGAGAAGTGTAGTTGTTTTGTCCATAAAAGTGCTACGGTACAATTCATAGGTGAAAGAACATGCAAAAGTTGGGACATGCACACCAAAGTTCGGCCCGTTGACAGACAGCACCCGGGTTGATTAGGGTGCCCGGATGAAAAATGTAACAATTAGCAGAGTTAACATCAGACCAACTTGAAAGTTCGCCGTTTCAGACGAGCTCTGTTATTAAAAATAACTACAATAAAAAATGTGAGGTCCGACACTCGCTCTGGCGTGTATTTGATTTTTGCATGGTTAATTGTCTCCCAGACGCGTTTTTCTGCCTTCAGCACAATTTTTCATCGTTATTGCGTCTGAGCACATCTATTGTCTCTGAGAATGGGACATGCTTGGTGTCCTAATGCTGGGTCCAGGGAACAGCCCCGGCTCAAACTTAAGTGAAAAGCCGGTAGCTGAAGGCACAGATCAACTCTGCGTGGTTACACAAAATTACATTACAATTTACAATTTTCAGCCGTCTGTGTGTAGCCTAGTGGCGCCAGTTTCATAAAATGGGTATCCAATGTCCGTCCAATGCTCTGATATCTTCGTCGACTGGTCGTCCAAAAATGTCCAAGCCAGCCCTTTGTCCAAAGATGTTCGAAAACTGCATAATAATTTACACTCAACACTTCTATTTCATTTCCTTTTAATGTGTTACCAGCCCAAGTGTTTATCATATCAAAAGTTGAGCTTTCTATTTGCCAATCAATGTCTTATGCGATTATTTTATATAAAAAAAATGCTGATGTGTAGCGGCTAGCAAGTGATTGTCCAATGTTGTCCAAAGCCTCCTGCCTTTATCCAACCTAACTCCGAATAGGACATATAGGACACAAGGTCCAAGTTCCGATTGGCACCACTAGTAGTCGCCTACATGTTTGCTTGTGCCATTCAAAGCCGGACTTCTTATCATAACGAAAGCTTGAGGGTGTGAAAGGGTTTCAAAGCTAAGCGTTAAAACGAAAGCCGGACCCTGCGCATCCGGGTGCTCGCAATGCCTGATGTAACCACTAACCATTAGCATGTCATCATAAAATGGCATACAGCCAGTCAAAATTGTATGCCTTCCCGCAACAAAGCAAACATCACCAGCCCCTTCCAAACAATCACAATCACGTAAACAAAGCCAGACTGGATGCGGCTACGATTCAATGAGATAGTATGATGAAAAGGACAAAGCGTTGATTCCGGGATCACCAAATTTTATAGGTGGGTATAATCGTATTATCAATTTCTGAGGTCACTAACAACTGTCACTAAAATGATTGTCTTAAAACTACCTCATCTTCTAAATCATCAACAGAATTGTATTATAATATCGTCACATTTTGCTAAGCAGCTAAAAGGAAGCAAAGCAGCAGCATCGTTACGTCCAGTGGGCGTATCGGCCCGTGGTGACGCATTTATGAACCACGGGAGATTCGCACGACGACCCGGTGACTCATGGCGACTCATTCCCGACTCAGTGTGTCATGAGTCTTCCCTCTCACACGCCAGTGCAATCCACAGAAACGTCTACCTCTGACAAAGACAGAAAACCCGTTACATGATGACACACGACAGACAGAGGGCATCAAGGCCTCGGGATTTCATCACAGCTACTTGACACACTGACACAGCAATGGCCGCGGGTTGGCACGGACGCATACTGCGGGTTTAGCTCACGTGCATGAGCACAATGACACAGTCAGGACAGAACAACATCGTTCAGTGACGGTGCTCATCTTGCCCTTGGCGTCGGCATTTTTCAGATGCCGCGACCGTGATAATTTGTCACAGGCTTCCTGTCACATGTCAGCCCGATGAAGTGGCGTAGCCTGTCACCAGGATCCTGACTGTCCACCGTCCAGGTGTCAGGGGCCAGATAAGCGTATGACTGTCCACAGGCTAAATAAACAGAAACTTCTCGCAGCCCAGTGTCATTTAATTGTTCTTATTATTTAAAAACGAACGAAGTGGTAGAAAAGATAGATCGGTCTGTTCACATCTGCATGGTTTTCGTCACAAAAAAAGTTTTCGGTTTCCATCCCGTTTGATTCGTGGATGGTTGGTTGGTCCTGTCGCCCATTTCATTGACCCCTGTCAAGTACCACCACCCATCTCTCCCGACACCCACTAATGGGTATTTCCATTGCCTACGCACCGGCACGAATCCCTATCAGTCAGCGGGCGCTGGGCTCTGAACCCTCTGACACCAGCGGACCCTTCCGACCGCGACAGCTCCCGCCCAGCTGGGACATCTCCCGGGCGCCGCGCGGACGGATGGTCGGGGCGGCCCGGCGCTCACCCCGGCACCGCCCCGACGCCATCGTGCCGCGCTCCGCCACCGCCCGGCGGCAGGTGTGGGCGGCGGCGGGGGCGGCGGCGGGGGCGGCGGCGGCCGGCCCGCCACGTTTGGTTCCTCCCGGTGCCGTAACCTTAGCTCGGCCAGAAATAGCGTGCGGATCCAGCGGCGCCGCCGCCGCCGCGGCCGACACGACTATTGGCGCTGGGTGGCGAGCTTTCCGGGCCGCCGGCGAGGTACGGTCGGCCGCGAGGAGCGGCTGTTTGTTCACTCCGGGCCACCAAATTCCAGCGTGATGGCACCCAGACAGGTGGCAGATAGACCCAATGCGTTAGCCGCCCAGCGGCTGACTGCGATTGCCGATTGCCAATTTATGAGCTGACACTAAAGAGTTGGTTTTGGTATAAGATAGAAACCAGACAGTCGTTTCTAAATTTAAATGGTCGAGTGGAGAGGCTGCAAAGCGCCAAACGAACCAACCTCGAAACGGAGCGGTCTTGCTTTTTACATTGCGGCATTTTTTACATAACATTGACATTATGTGTCATGGCATAACATTATGTGTCATGTAATCATCGAAATAGACGAATACGGCCTTGACTTCGACAAAAATTTCAATATAAACAGGGCGTAACACAGCAACAATGGGCTATATAATTTAATTACGGGTAGTACTTGACAGTGCTCAAGTGATTTTATGTGTGACGATTTATAGGAAAATTTATTATTTCTCACGAAAAGTGTACAGTAACACTGTTCTTGTCTCTATCATATAGATGTTTTTTCAGGAAAGAGCAACCAAGTTAAAATCCAGAATAACAATAAAATAACAGTGATAAATTTCAAGGTCCAGACTAATCAAACATATTTACTAGCATAAGAAAAGAATGGGTTTTGTGGCCTAAATAGAAGTTACATGTCATCCATTTTTATACAGGAAGGTTCGTGATAACAAGCAAAACTGTGGATAAAAGACAGCTATTGTAATTCCAATGCGGATATGCCAGAAAAAAGCACAGCAATAAATTTGATTATGATACCTGAGGAGGAATGCGATGTTGATAGCTCCTCAGAGCTTTGAAATAGGGCACGTCAGGGGTACGTGCCTACTGCCTACTTTCTGAGGCGTGCACAAGTTAGTGGTTCTTTATTAACGTTCTCGACCATGTGATAATTAATTCTAGTCCCTATTGTAGTAAAAAAACGGTCCCTTATTTCACGTTCATTCTTGTTGAAGGTAGCGTTCGCTGGGCGATGAACACGGCTGAAATGATAGATTATCATATATTTATTCGTATAGGTAATGCCGTAAATGGTTTCAGTACCAGAGGGCCACTGATAAACCACAATAAGATTTCAAAGGCATTCATGTGAGACTCAAGGCAGAAACAGATCGACAAAGATAGAGCGAGCGAGCGAGAAAGAAGAGAGGAGAGAGAGAGAGAGAGAGAGAGAGAGAGAGAGAGAGAGAGAGAGAGAGAGAGAGAGAGAGAGAGAGAGAGAGAGAGAGAGAGGGAGAGAGAGAGAGAGAGAGAGAGAGAGGGGGGGGGCGTAAGGAGGGAGGGAGCGAGGAGGAAGCGGATAAATGAAATGGGTGCGAGTGGAACAGATCGTTTCTAT